CTTTAGGTGAGTGTATACGTAATATGCATGCTTATGTTTTAAACTCAAAATCCATTCTTTACCTTAAACACGTCAAAATGAACAGTCAGTCTGCTCTTACCTGTAAAATTATTCGTTGGTAAGCATGTCCTCCAAACGTTTTCTTTGCCCTAACTTTCTGTCATGTGTAACCCCAAGAAGTCTTAAAACATTCAGTTAGATGTGCTCACTTCTAGCAGATGTCGGCATTCCTCAAATTTATTAGTTGCGTTTACACAAAATTTTGAGTGTAATAAAAATCCCAAATATTGGGCTACACATACTCTTTTAATTAAATACATTTAGAAAAATGGCATTTTAGGCAAAATCTACTCATTTTAAAGAGCTAAGATTACTAAAGTCAAGAATAATTTTTTTCAGTGTAGTAGGAATTGGGTCTACAAGGCTAGCAGAGGATTTACAGGAGGAAATTAAGCTCAAAAGTTGTTTTATAGGAAGGAAAGATTCAAAGATCACGTTATCAGTATGCATAGACCTAGCAGGAGGCTGGCAGCTGTATGTAGCTACAGACGTGAACTGGATGGTCTGTCTAATCTTAGTTATTTTACCAATAAAAATGTAATAAAGTCATCACACTTACGTAAAAGCTTGTGAGATTTGTGAGTTTAACGCTAAAGAATTCTGTGTTAACCTGGACACAGATTCAAATAGGAATTTAAGATTATTTTTGTTCTCTTCAATGAGTCTGTAGAGGTACACAGATCTTACAATCACTAGTGCTTGTCTGCACTAAGAGAGGCTCTTTCCAGACAAATCTGAAAACTTCTAGTTTAGTTGAGCGCTATTTGTGCTCTAGCTTGCGTGAAGCCTGTTTAAGTTCACGCGTATGATCAGAGCACCAGGGGGCAGGTTTCTTATTTCTATGCTTTATTTTCTTAAGTGGAGCTACAAGATCTAGGTGCTGTGAAGCAATTTCTCCATGTGCACAGTTATCTATTAAAGTTAGGTGCTTCAGATGTAAGGTTGAAGAACTGTGGAAATTGGTTGAGAAACGCTGTTGTAGTTAATGAGGCAACGGAACGTCTGGTACTGTACTTAGGAGCTGGGGCCAAAGGGAGGCTTTACTGTATATCAAACGTTAACAAGTAATGCTCTGGAAACAGAGGATTCTGAGGTATAATAGATATGTGTTCCAGTAGGACACCATGGCTAATAATCAAATCCAGGGTGTGGTTACAGGCATGAGTAGGCCGACTACATTCTAACATAGACCTACAGAGTCTAGGATAGCAGCAAACATTGTTGTTAAAGGATCGCTGTCATTCTCCATGTGAATATTAAAATCACGGCTTTGTCAGTAGTTAATTTGGAAACTCCAAGGACCAGGTGGTCTATACACAATAACAATGGTGATTTGAGGTGAAGAACTACCAAAGAGATGATCCTGCAAGAGTAAGAAGAAGAATTTCAAATGTGTTAAAGCTATAAGCACTTTGCTCAGACACTCCTAGGTCAGACTGAAATATTGCAGCAGCACCAGCACCTTTGCCATCTGGTCGAGGGTTATGCTGTAATCAGCTGGAGTAGATTCATTTAGTGCCATGAATTCATTCGGTTTAATCCAGGTCTCAGTTAGGCATTAGGACCAAGACTAAAATCAGTAATCATTTCATTTATTAATAGCACCTTAGGAGCCAGTGATCTTACATTCAAAAGGCCAGATTTTACCCTTGCATTACACCTATTATCTAATAATGGATTTGGTTTAATTATTATCAAGTTATTATGACATACACTACGGTGGAATACACCTCCATGATTAACAGTGTGGGGAACAGACAAAGTCCAAATAACATGAACTCTAGGTGACGTCTAGCAGGCGGTCGGTTATGCCGGTTTGCCTGCCACCTGGACTTGGCTCTGGCTAGTCAGCGATTTGCCTGGAGACTATGAGCTATGCTTTTGGACAGAAGATCGGCACCAGTCCGCGAGGGGTGTATACTGTCCCTCTTCAAAAGCCCAGGCCTACCTCCAAACGTTCCCCAATTGTTTATATAACCCACAGAATTTATTGGGCACCATTCCGACAGCCAGCGATGCAGAGACGATAATCTGCTGTATATTTCATCACCACGTCTAGCAGGGATGGGGCCAGAGCACGTTACTGACACAGACATCTTCTTCACAAGGCTGCACACCTCTATGAAATTTGTCTATGTAACTATTGACTGTGAATTACAGAAGCATGCCCGGTCAATAGTTACAGCTCTATATTAATTTTATCGTTCTTTTTTTTTTTTTAAAGATGTGAACAAAATGCGCAACCGTGTTGGGGTGTAACGTCAGTTCACTGACTATGAAACTTGCCAAGGGGGGGTGACCTATAATATATTTTGCCGAGCTCAGGGGTAGGAAATGTTTGTGAAAATACAGGTCAAATTGTGTATTTTCGTGGATCAGTGCAGGACGATGTTGCCCAGAGGAACAGCGGTTCATGTTGTGATTGGCTGTTTGGAAGTCGGGCTGTGATTGGTCAATTGGTTGTCAGGCAACTGTGACACTCCAATACTGAAACAGCTGGCATGGAATTCCATAAGTCGCTTTGTTTATTATAATAATAATAATAATAATAATAATAATAATACATAATGCTTAATGTATTATCATTATTATTATGCTTAAAAAAAAGGAGGTTACACACTAAAAAGTGCCAGTTGCTGCTGCATTAGCTGCTGGGGACGTTCACATCTCTTCCTTTCAGTGATACGTGTCCAGTGTAGGGACACCTGACAGAAAGATGGCTAAGGACTGCACTGGAAGCTCTGGTCTGACTGTTATGGGAGGGTTCACGTCCATCTTGCTGTCCATGTGTTCCTATATATTCTGTGATTTTTGGCTGTAGTTTGTACTTAATATTTGTACCTCTAGTGTTGAGCTAAGATGCACTGACTCACAATTAGTGATCATATGACTGCAGCAAATTGCCAGGATACACAGAACATTCTGCAGACTATAATTCATTTTGAAATGTAAGCTGTGCTGCTAATTATATTGAAAACAAATGCTTATCGTAATGCTTTGTATTTTACTAATGTGTAGGATGTGTATATGTCTGTGTCTTAAAGTGTTTTCTGTTTCAGGCTGAACAGCTGTGATCTCAGAGATAAACATTGTGAAGTGTTGACTTCAGCTCTAAGATCAAACTCTTCCCCCCTGAGAGAGCTGGACCTGAGTGACAATAACCTGAAGGATTCAGGAGTGAAGCTGATCTCTGCTGCACTGGGGGATTTACACTTTAAACTGGAGATATTGAGGTCAGTATTACTGAGTATTCCACACTGTAAACTGGGGATACTGAGGTCAGTATTACTGGGTATTCCACACTGTAAACTGGGGATAGCGAGGCCATTATTACTAGGTATTCCACACTGTACGCTGGAGATACTGAGGTCAGTATGACTGGGTATTCCACACTATAAAGAGGGGATAGTGAGCAATTAGCTAAGTTCACTTACACACTAAACTGTAATTCTTGAAATATTAATTGGAGCACATTTACAGTATTTAATACTTGTAACGGTGCGGTGATATTATTTATTGGGGAGTTTCTGTCTCTCTCTCTGCAGGCTGGCAGGCTGTAGAGTCACAGAAGAAGGCTGTTCTTCTCTGGCTTCAGCTCTGAGGTCAAACCCCTCACACCTGAGAGAGCTGGATCTGAGCTACAATCACCCAGGAGACTCAGGAGTGAAGATGCTCTCTGCTCTACTGGATGATCCCAGCTGCAAATTGGAGAAGCTGCAGTGAGTATAGAATATGCATTTTACACAAAAGGAACTGGATCCCAAGAAAACCCACAATGCATTTCAGCAGTTACATAACAAACAAACACAAACAGCTTCTGTTTTCTTCTCCTACTTCCTTATATCCCACAAGCTTATCAGCCCTCGATCCATGTTAGAAATAATTAAGCAGTGAAGCAGGAAACATCCATTCAACCATATAATCCATGCAAAACATTTGTGTTGATTAGCAAAGTTAACGGTACTGTTACAGTTAAACATGCTGACTTTAACGTGTTATGGACAAAAATATAATGGACACCAATCAGAATCGGGATGATTGTTAAAATGATTTTTTAGTAATTTAATTGTTTTCTGAAAATCCTTTATGTCATGGCCCCTATTCTCCTCATTTGAATACAGTGCTGCAGTGTAAAAAGTGGATTTAAAAGTGTTTAATTTTTTTAAGGGTAGGCCGGTGTGAACTCACAGAGAAATACTGTGAGGTGCTGGCTTCAGCTTTAAGATCAAACTCCTCACCCCTGAGAGAGCTGGACCTGAGTGACAATGACCTGCAGGATTCAGGAGTGAAGCTGCTCTCTGCTGGACTGGGGGACTTGCACTGTAAACTGGAGATACTGAGGTCAGTCTTGCTGGGTATTCCACACTGTAAACTTTGGGTAGTGAGGTGAGTATTACTGGGTATTTCACACTGTACGCTGGAGATACTAAGGTAGAAAATAACCAATGATTTCGAAATCAAGCAGGAGTATCTAAGTCTAATGGTTGAGTTAAAAAATAACATTAGACTCGCTAAGTGGAATGTCGAAAGGAAGATTGCATTGGAGGCTATGGATTATTATATTAAAAGTTTCTTCCAATGTTTTAACTCCAAAAGAGCTCTAAAAGCTGAAATCACTAATCTGCAGAATATTAAGGGCCTTATAATTGAAAATGAAATTGATATAGTAAATGAGTTTAATGATTATTTTACATGGGTGTTCACAATAGAGGACATGATTAACAAATACAGTGTCGTATATAAACAATATACAGTGCCCTCTACAATTATTGGCACCTCTTGTAAAGATTTGTAAAAAGGGTTAGAAAAAAAACCAACCTTTTGGCGAAGCAGCCTCATTTCACACTGAAAAAATGAGAAAAATCCAACCTTTCATTGAAATAAATTTATGCAAAGAAAAACAAATCCTTCATCAAGAAATAATTATTTCCAACAAAAACACATGTGCCACGATTATTGGCACCCCTGCATTTAATACTTTGTACAGCCTCCCTTCGCCAGTATAACAGCACTGAGTCTTCTCCTATAACATTTTATAAGGTTGGAGCATACAGAGCAGGGCATCCGAGTCCATTCCTCTGTACAGAATCTCTCCAGATCACCCAGGGTCCGAGGCCCTCTCTTGTGCACTCTCCTCTTCAGCTCAGCCCACAGGTCTTCAGTGAGGTTCAGGTCAGGCGACTGAGATGGCAGAAGCTTGATTCTGCAGTCAGCTAACCATTTTTATGTTGATTTGGACATGTGCTTAGGATCACTGTCCTGCTGGAAGATCCAATGAAGGCCCAGTTTTAGTTTCCTGGCAGAGGCAGCCAAATTTTGATATAAAATATCCTAGTATTTCATGGCGTCCTTAGTGCCATGTATCTTAACGAGGTTTCCAGGGTTTTTTCCAGGAAAAACAGCCCCACAACATCACAGAACCTCCACCATATTTTACAGTTGGGATGAGGTTCATTTCATTACAGTATATCCATCCTTCTGTTTATGCCAAACCCACCTTGAATGTTTATTGCCAAAAATCTCCATTTTTGTTTCATCAGACCATTGAATTTGATTCCAATCAAAGTTATAGTAATGTTTTGCAAACTCCTGGCACTTACATTTTACATAACTGACAGAAAATACTTCTGTCTGTCATACCTTTCAAATAATCTGTTTGATGATGGTTTTTTCAGAGATGTGGTAACCCCAAGATTTTACATTGTCTTGTAATTCACCAACAGTCATCCTTGGGGATTTTTTTGTCTCTCTTATGATCCTCCTCACTGTATGTGGGGGCAAAGTAAACTTGGGTCCTCTTCCAGGAAGGTTTGAAACAGTTCCAGTTGATTTCTACTTTTTAATTATTACCCTAACAGTACAAATGGGCATTTTAAGGCGAGTAGCTATTTTTTAATACCCATTCCCTGACTTATGAAAGTAAGCACACTTCTCCCTCATTTGGTCTGTGTTCTCTTATCTTTCCCATGTTGATGGATGACTAAGGGAATTTGGCCTCTGTGTCTCCTCATGTTTGTACCCCAGTTAAACAAGAAGTCATGGATTACAGCTTGAAGGTTCCTATTCACTCAAATCAACTCAAAGATGTGTAATTTACATGGGAAACATGTTTCAGTTACATTGTGTTCACTATAATTTGCAGGGGTGCCAATAATCGTGGCACATGTGCTTTTGTTAAAAATAATTATTTCTTGATGAAGGATTTGTTTTTCTTCTAATAAATTAATTTCAATTAAAGGCTGGATTTTTCTCATTTTTTCAGTGTGAGATGAAGCAACTTCACTAGAAGGTGGATTTTTTCTTACCCTTGTACAAAGGGGTGCCTATAATTGCAGAGGGCACTGTATGTATAACTGAGGCTAATGTGGTACTAAGCCTAGCTAAGCTCAAAATAAATAAATCGCAGGGCCCTGATGGCATCTTACCTATAGTTTTAAAAGAGATGAGGGATATTATTATTCAACCTTTAACTTTAATATTTCAGAAATCCTTATCTGCTGGTGTGATACCTTCAGATTGGAAGCATGCTAATATAATGCCCATATTGAGAAAAGGGGATAGAAGTAATCCAGCAAATAATTATTAATTTAACTCACATAACTGGAAAAGTAATGGAAGCTATAATCCAAGCGAAAATGGTAGATTACCTGGATACAAATAACATTCTGAAGGATATCCAACATGGATTTATGAGAGGCAGATCCTGTTTAAGTAATCTACTTGAGTTCTTTGAGGAAGCTACAAGAGAGATAAATTGATCACAAAAAGTACTTAGATTTCCAGAAGGCCTTTTGATGTTGTCCCTCACAAACGGCTCTTGCTTAAGCTCGAAGCTGCAGGGATATTAGGAACATATGCGATGGGATTTGTGATGTATGTTTAATTTCTCTATCTGTCTATTGAAGACTGGAGATAATATGTCCCAAAAATGTTAATGGATTTCTGCAGGCAAACCATCCAGTCTGGGCACTTTATTGTTAGGCATTTGGTTGAGGAATTTATGGAATCCTTCTGATGTTAATGGTGCATCAAGGGTATCTGCTATTTCATTGGTTAATATGGGTAAGTCCAGATTATTTAAAAATTATTCTACTGTATATCAACTGCATCTGGTTCTTGTTCTGAGGAATATAGGTTCTTATAAAAT